GCGCGGGCCCCGGGGGCGCTGCGCAGTGGCAGAAGTGCCGTCTGCTCCTGCGTAGGGCAGTGGCTGGCGAGCGCTTTCGCCTGGAGTTCTTCGTGCCACCCAAGGTGAGTGCCCCCCACTCTCACCCTGCAAATGGAGGAGCACATGGGCAGCAGCTGAGGGTGCCAGGGGCTAATTTGGCCTCCCTGATCCAGTCACCAGGATGGAGTCTTTGATGTGTCCCCCCCTTCTTAGACAAGTCACCCGCTCAAACCATTGTTCCCTCTGTAAAGTGGCTACACAGAGGGGTTCTGGGGCAGGGTCCTTGGTGGTGTTGAGGGGCTCAGCTGCCTGCCATGCCTCCTCACCTGGGTCCCCCCAGAGCTGAGTCCTACAGGGCTGACAGCAGGGAGTGACTGCACACTCAACGCTCCCAGGGCGCTGGGGCCTCACCCCACAGGGATCTGCTCAGCCCCAGCTGGCTGCCAGGCTGTCCAGCCCCTGCCCTGCTGGCCCTGTGCTAACCAGGGGGAAGCGAGGCTTCTCTGGCTGTCATCAGCATCGCTGCTCACCTGTCCCTCTTGGGGGCTGGCCATAAGAGTCCTGGGAGCTGCTTCTGATCTCCAGGGTGTAAACCCGCCCAGTTTTAAAAGTAGAAATAGCCTCAGCCTGGTATAAGCTCTCACCCTCCAGGTGCCCCAGCCAGGTGTCCCCATGGTCCCCAGATCATAGACAGAAACTCAAATGAATACTCAGAGAGGGGGGTATGGCCTGCCCAGAGTCACGCAGCCATGGGTGCAGAGCTAGGCTAATTACGCCCACTACCCAGGTGGTCCTGAGAAGGAAAGGGGCGTGTGGAGGTGGGAGGCTGTGCTGGTGCTGCAGCTGGAGGCACCCCCAGGAGCCACCCAGGCCCCCAACTCACCTCGGCTCACTCTGTCCCCGGGCGCCCGCTGAATCACCTGCAGTCTCTTGGCTTTCTCCACCTCTCAGTCTGTTGGGGGCTGTGGGAGCTCTTCCCTGCCTCTCTTGTGGAGATGCAGGGGTGTGGGCTCCCCAAGGCTGGGTGCCCACGAACTGCATGGGCCCTGAAGAGGTGACTTCCAGAGACACACTTGCTCTCTGAAGAGCATTCTCCCAACCTTCCCAAGGGCCTTTGGCTGCCCAGGCCTCCCCCGTTAGGTCCCAGAGGGAAACCATAGCTACAAGTCCACGCCTGTCAGGGAGATGGAGACCCAGCGAGGGGTGGGTCTTACCGGGGTCACCCAGAGGGCAGGGGCAGAGGCCCAGGGCTTCCCTGCTCCAGCCCTGAGTGGCAGCCGCAGCTGCCAGGCTGTAAATAACAGGGTCTGCTGCTCTAGGGGAGGGGACAGCAGCTGGTGTCTGTTAGTCCCTGCAGAGCCCCCTAACTTCTCTGCTGGCAGAGGACAGGGTTCCTGGGGGCAACTAGGCCCCTCCCCATCCCTGAGGAGGGCGGGCAAGTTCCACTCCCGATCTGGCTTCAGGTCCTCCTTTTGTTCCTGCAACTGTTAGGGTATTTGGGGTAACCAGAAGTGATCCTAATGGTGGGACAGATCACACTGGAGGTAGAGCTCACGTGGGGTTTCCCAGATGCATATGGGCCCAGGAGACTGGCTCCCAGATTGAGTGAGACAGGGCCCCCCTGCTGACACCCCCACTGCCTGGTCACCCACCCACAGTCCAGACCACCTCTCACGCCTTGGATGCGGAGCTCGCCCTCAGAACAGTCAGGAGCTTGGGGACGGCAGACTCGGGCACAGCCCCATGAGTTGTGTCTCTGGCATCCTGCCCACTCACCCTGCATAAAGATCAACCCCAGTCCGCTCCTAGCCCTAGGGCAGCCCTGGGGACCCAAGGATGTTCCCCCCACTCCGTCGTTGAGGGAGCCACCAGGAAACTGGTATTTGCAGGACTGGATGCCACCTTTAATGGGGCAAGCACTGGGCGTTCTGGGGCCCCAAGGAGTGGAAGCTTGGGCTGTGTAAGTGTTCACCAGGTGGCAGGGCCCCAGGACAGGCACTGCAGGAAGCATGAGCTACGTGAGCCAAGGCCTCCAGTTGTGCCCACGCCAACTGTCCAGGGAAGAGGTACAGGGAGTCATGGCTGGAGCAGGTGAGAGGCAGGTGCGCCAAGGCAAATGGGCTTCCACTGCCATGCTGGTGAGCCACTGCACTTCAGGCCAGCGAAACCCAGCTGGCAGCCCTGACCTCTGCCAGCTGCACCCAGCCAGGATCACTGCCCCCAGCCCACTGGCAGTGTGGTGGCCCCTCACACCATGGCCAGCCGAGCCCAAGCCTACTGCTCTGAACCCAGCCCTGTGCCCACTGGCTGGTGGCCAGTGCTTCCAGTAATTCCCACCCACCTGCCCACCAAATATGTGGCCCTTCCCTTTCCTCCTGAGAAAGTCCCTGTCCCAGAGCCCAGGCCCTGCCAGGAATCCCAGTCTCTGGGCCAGCCCCCTGGAGCCTCAGGGCCATGGCCAGTGGGGTTGAGGCAGAGCCAGCAGGGCCCTCCCACAGCCAGTGAGACCACCCTGGTCAGACTCCACAGTGCTCTTGGGACACCTCCCTATACCTGGAAATGAGGCCTGCCCAGCTCCACCGGCCCTGTCCTGAGTCGAGGCTCCAGAGCTCTGCCCCAGAAAGTCTAGTCTGAAGCCAGAGACCAGCATCTTGGTTTTTTTTTTTTTTTTGAGAGGTTTTTTTTTTGCTATAGGGCGCATGCGCTCGCCAGACAGACAGAGACAGAGAGACAGAAAGCGAGAAATCACCCCCCAGGGGGGATGGTCACGCCGCAATCCCTTCTCCTCCATTTTCCTCTCGGGATCTTGGGCACGCATGCACATGCACCCAGCGTGAGTTTAAGCCACCGGGTCCGGGACCCAAACCGCGGTCAACTACGTGGGAGTCCAGCGACATAGCCACTACGCCAACTGCTGGTCCCATCCAGCATCTTGTTTTGATGAACTAGAATAAATAGAAAATATCCCACTCCATCATACAGTCAGGATAAACACTGTCTGGAAGAATATTTGTTTCAGTGACATGTTTACCTATGTCTGTGTGTACCCAGCCACAATACCAGACATGCTTCTTACAGGGGGTCATGGTCCCAAATGTGAAAACTCCAGATCTGGTGGGTGCACTGGGCAGAGGGCGCCCGGGACAGGGTTCATCCCTCACAGCTGGGAGGCAAGAGACTCAGATGCCAATCCCAGCTCTGTCTCTGACTTGCTGTGTGACTACAGGAGATCTGTCTCAGAACCCTCTTCCAGGGTGGCCATAGCAGACTAAGCTGAAGGGTGCTCTGACTCCTGGGAGCGGGAAAGGGTGGGGAGGGTGCCAGGTGGTCCTGGAGCGACTCTCACTGCCCCTTCTGGCCTCCCAGGCCTCCAGGCCCAAGGTCAGCATCCCGCTGTCCGCCATCGTCGAGGTCCGCACCACCATGCCCCTGGAGATGCCAGAGAAGGACAACACGTTCGTGCTCAAGGTGAGCCCCTGCCATAGCACCCAAGATCCAGAGATCCTGCAACTGCCCCTGGCCACACCCTCACAGGCAGTACAGCTGGAGGTCATCGGGTGCACGAGGGTAAGGGGCCCAGTGCCAGGCCCAAGCCTGCCCTCCGCAGAGCAGCAGACGTGAGACGCACACAGCTGGGACTTGAATCGGGGCTGGGCTCTAGAGCTGTGGGCCCAGCCTCACCTGCCATCTGGGCCCTAAGGCGTTCCCACTTGCGCCTAGATCTGGGTGAAGGGCCTCAGTTTCACTTCCTCTGCTCCCTGCCCCTGCTGGAGACAGCACACAACCGTTATGCAAATGTTCCCATCACTGCAGGGCACTGGAGTGTGGGAACCAGCCTGATCCCACAGGGCACAAAGGCACTGAGGGTGGGCAGGCAGGTACCCTGGCGGGTCTGAGGGCAGCCCATCCTGTCCCACATCACTGGGTGGCCTGCTTAAAGACACAGCCCCAGGCTGCCAGGGACTAGGAGGCGGAGCTCCCAGGAGACCCACTTGTGCCCACACCAAGCTGCATGATGCCCCCGCCCTCCTCTCCAGGCCAGTCAGGTTTATATTTGTACCCATCCCTATTAGTTTGGGGACAGGCTTACTTATTCATTCAACAGCATTTGCCAACCCCATACCCTGAGTCACCTCTGGCTGGGGGGCTTACCTGCCAGCCCCACTTGGTGTCAGTTCCTACATTTGCTCAGAGAGGGGCCAGAGGCCACCTCGAGGACCGTCAGCTCTGAGATACTAAGAATCTAACCTGCATTTGGACAGACGTCCATGACAGGAAGCCGGGGGTATAGGGCCCTGGCTCTGGCCCAGGCACTGCAGTGGCTGCTTCTGGGACTATGGGAAAGTTACTTGGCTTCTGTGAACCTCAGTCTTCTCATTTATAAAACGGGAAATATACCGCTCCCTCACAGGGCTGGTAGGAGGGGTGGATCAGATCAGGTAATACCGTCCGGGGTGTTCTACCCTCTTCTCCCCTGGAAGCTGCTGCCCCAGGGGCCTGTCTGTGGAGGTAGGGCTCCAGGCACTAAAGCATATGAGCCCTTCAACTCAGCTGGGCCACCTGACCTCCTGCTTGATTTGAACCCCATCTCCAGGGTACTAGGGCCTGGATTGGGATGCACGGCCTCCTCAGAGGCTGCATCCCCAGGGCCTGAGGACCTTGGTCAGTGGGGCCTGAGGTCATCCCCAATAGTGGGTCCAGGAGGGAGGGGCTGCTGAGAAAAAAATCCCAGCCTGGGTCTGAGGAGGTATCCAGTGGTAACCCCACTGTTTTCTGTGCTGTTCACATCTGGAGCCCTGGTCGGGGAGGGATGGGATGGGCCATTAGAGCCATTCGTCTGGGGCTCTGGACCCCAGGCTGAGGGAGGAGGAGCTCTGAGCACAGGCCACGGTTGGGACTCCCACCATCCCTTCCCCAGGTGGAGAATGGAGCCGAGTACATTCTGGAGACCATCGACTCCCTGCAGAAACACTCGTGGGTGGCTGACATCCAGGGCTGTGTGGACCCCGGGTGAGTGCCCAGGTGCCCTGGGACAGGTTGGCAGGCTAGGCGGTGCCCTCGGTCCAGCCTCACAGCAAGAAGCTTCGTGGTCAGGGCAGGAGCTGAGCTTGAGACGGGCTCCTCTGTCCTACCCAGGTTGGAGATGGCCAGGGCCCCCACACCCCCGCCCCACTCCCACCCCAGCAGATGGTGTGAGGCCTACTCTACAGGGCCAGGGCCTGGGGACCCAGGAGGAAGTTGGACAAGTCTTATCCTTGCCCCAGGAGAGCCTGAGACCACAGGCAGATGGGCAGTGGGGGAATGAGTGGAGGGACAGGGAGGGGTCCCTAACCCAGCCACACAGAGAGGACAGCCTGGCTTAGCGTAAGAGTGGGCCTGCTCCGGCAGGGGAGACAGGGAGAAGAGGAGAGCCTGGGGCTCACAGGGACCCACGGAACAACATCAAGGTCTTCGGGGTAGCTGAGAGGAGGAGACTTGGATGAGAGGCCAGGAAGCTGGTAGGGCAGGCAGGGGCAGTGGGGAGCCGTGGCCAGAATTAAGCCGAGGGCAGTTACGGTCAGACAGTGCAGGCTGAGCTCCTGGCACCAGCTCTTGTGGCCGAGGGGGTGAGCCAAGTCCCAGGGGGAGGGGCTGCTGCTTTCTAATTAACAGCTTCATTTAAGGGAGCACAATTCAAGTCCTGAGCGCCTCCAGGACACCCGATCCCCAAAGTGCTTGTCATCCCTCCCTCCCCTGCCGTTCTCCCAGCCATCTGCTCTGCAAACTCTGTCCCTAGCCCCAGGAAAGGGAACCTCACTTGGCAGAATTTGAGAGCTGGCAGGGTCCCAGACACCTCGGGTCACATAGTGGAGAGACAGAGGCCCTTGGCAGGGAAGGGAGCTGTCCCAGCTCCACCACCGCCTCACCCTCCCACCCTGTGAGGTTCTCCATGGGATCCGTGGAGGCACCAGACCCTCAGAGGCAGGGCTCAGGCTGCCTCAGGTACCACTTGGAGGCCTCTCCCTGTGTCCTGGTCACTTACACAGTGGCTGCAGAGGGCAGGTTAGGACTGGCGCTGCTCATGGGCCTGTCAGCCACTACCTGGCTCTGTACGCAGCCTGGGGTCCCTGTCCAAGTCCCACAGCAGGACGCGGTTGTGCTTTCTCACCACCACAGTGACAGTGAGGAGGACGCCGAGCTCTCGTGTGCCCGGGGAGGCTGTCTGGCCAGCCGCGTGGCCTCCTGCAGCTGTGAGCTCCTGACAGAGGGTAGGTCAGGACAGGACTGACCTGAGTAGTGGGGGACAGGGTTGGAGGGGGCGGATGCTCGGAGTGGATGGGAAAGGGAGATGCTTCTTACCTGCCACTTTTCCGCAGCGGACCTGCCCCGGCCCCCAGAGACACCGACAGCCATCGGGGCCGTGGTGACCGCCCCACACGGCCGAGCTCGAGACACTGTTGGAGAGGCCCTGA